AATTGTTTCAGATTATTTCGTGGAGCTTCGTTCATCTTTAGCAAACTACTTATTTATATAAAAAGCTGTGAATTTTAATGTCATAAGTATGTAGGAGCAATTCAGCTAAGAAAAGCTGCTTCTGAAATTATCATCAGAGTTGGTATCTTCACTGATTATTGTTTATTTGTGCTTTCAGACTGTGGTCCAACTGTTGGAAACTCTGACCGGTTGTGTACGGTACATCTGCACGCTCCAAGAGTGTGTGCCTCTGGAGAGTATCCGCACTCTCCCATCCTCTGTTCTTTACATGATAAAGAACACTTTTACACACTGCAAGGTAGGTCTGTGTTAGCAGAACAAAAATTGTTTTACTTGTTGTTTTTTAGGAAGCCCTCCCTTGTAAGAAGATCCTGTCTTGAAAAAATATTGCTGTAGAATTTTGTTTATTATTGCTTTATTAAATCATTTACAGAATGTGCTTAGTGCCAAGTACAGAGATGTTTTTTCAACCATCTGCCCAGCGAATTTGACCTGGTACTGAAAGGCAGACTGCATTATTTCCATATTTTGCATCAGTGTCAATTAAACATTTGGCTATGAATTTAGGCCCTCTGTGACATTTGTGCACTTCTGATAGCTGCGGTAATTATCAGAGCTATAAATGGTTACCAAAATGATGCTGTTTGCCATGTTTCTGTGCAAGTTTCAAAGCAGACTGGAAGTTGGGATTAGGATCCTGATATTACTATGATGAGCAATGTATATCAGCGTCAGATTTACATTTTCAGATGCCCCAGTAGTTACTGTGCTGGTAGTATTTCCCTCTGAAGCAGTATAAATAAAATAAGGTTATCACAGGACTCAGTAGCTTTTGGTCTGCTTTCTTTTTCACTTTGCAGTTTGTCTTTCTTACTGGACAGGACTGGAACTCAGATTCCATTCCTTTATTTACCAGTTCTAATTTGAAGGTATTAGGAAACATTTGAAACGCAACTTTCATTGTTGTTAATGAAACAATTTGTTTCGCTATTTCATTTGGAAATCTGATCTTAAATTCATGCATCAAGGCCCGATTCAAAGCCCACGGAACTCTTTAAAGACAGGCAGATTTCATTAGCTGTTGATCAGGGTGCAGGTGAATAACATTTTATATTTAGTACATAACAAGTAGGGGTTGGTGTCAGAAGCTACAGATCTTACATTACAGATCTGAGTAATGAGTTGAAGCAGGTGTAACTAAGCCTTATTCTTTTTTCCAGTGAAGTGTGTAACAAAGCTCTCAGTAGTTTCTACAGGTGAAAGCCCAGGCTGTGATTCCTTGAAAAAAAAAAAAGTTTTTTTTAAAACTCTTCCCTGTTTCCTGCAGGACAGTGAATCAGTATACTGTGGGCATCTGCACTTGATTTCTGACCTCCTGCAAGCTATGTTTAAGGAAACTTATTCTCTTCAGAAACAGCTGATGGAACTACTTGATATGATTTCTATGGGCTCTGCTTCTATTGAAGATAACATTGCAGATATGGTGTCAGGTACACATGGATCTAAAGATTTTTTTAGTCTTGCCCAGTCTTTTTTTTTTTTTTTTCCCTTTTTAAGCAAGTTTG